AAAACACGAATCGAATTTTCCATACAAAAATAAATATTGGTGGGTGATAATGGATATGTTTCTCATATCTTTCGACGGATCTCTCACGGTTAATTCTATGAATATTCACAAAATGTTTCACAATTTGGTGATATTTTGATTACAACAGTTTCATTTATCTTTAAAATACAACATGAAAAGGGGCCGAGATGTTTACGATATTTAAAGATATTTGAATAGTATTTTATCGGTTCAGCTTTTTTCCAATAATTCAGGCCGCTGTTCCATTAGATGTAGAGCACCATGTGGTAATTTCATTGCAGTCTATCTAAATTTATTTACCAATAGGGGAGGGTGCTTGATGATTGGAAAAGCAATGCAGTATATTTACGAACATTAGAAAATATATCAATTTAATTGAAAGCAGAACTGGAAAAAGATCGCAAAATTATTTCAAAAATCAGAAAAATAACTTAAGAAACAAGTTTGATTTGATGTACATAAGTTTCATGTACATTATCAATCATATATTCGGTTAATGTTGACCAGGATCCTGATGTGTAAAATAAGTCCACTGCCTAAATGGCAGTGGGTTTTTTCAACTTCAGTGCCATGAGAAAAAAGTGACTGCCATTGGCAGTCAGGCAGCCGTGAATTTCGAACCCTGTGGTGTATGCACTGGTGATCCACTCGATTACGCTGGTTACCAAAACGAAGCGTTTTGTTAACAAAATGTCGGAACGTCGAAGGCACGATTTTTCTTTTTTCCTTATTTCACGCGTTGTAGGCAGAATCCCCACGACGTTTTTTCTCACAACGTACATCAGTATCATTTGTTTTAGAAAATGTACATGTTTGCGAAAAAATAGCTCAGAGAACAACAGAATCGTCGATTTACTTCCTCACTTAAGTTACATAAACGATTTTTCGAAAAACAGTTAAGATCTGCACTTTTAACCCAAACCGTTTATGTAACTAAACAAGTGAGGAAGTAAATCGACGATTCTGTTGTCTTCTGAACTATTTGTTCGCAAATATGTACACTTTCTTAAACATATGATACTGATACACGTTTGTGATAAAAAATGTCGTGGGAATTCTGCCTACAACGTGTAAAATAAGGAAACGAGAAAAATCGTACCTTCCGGATGTTCCGACATTTTGTTACCAAAACGAACCGTTTTGGTAACCAGCGTAATCGAGTGGATCACCAGTGGTATGGCTTATAGAAGAAAATCAAAACGAACCTGCCATTTCAGTTTAGTTCAGTTTCCCGTCACTACTCATACTAATACCAACTGTAGTGTAGTTAGATTTACATCCTAGGATATATCCGTGGCTTAACTTATTAGTAGCTGTTTATCTCGTATTATCCATTGTGTGATCCATTGCCAGTGTGATCTGTAGTATTCTTAACTACTGTACTATCCCTTGGAATGCACAGCCTGTGGGGGAACGAGTGTGGTTAATGTTTTCTTTAACCCTGACATGTACGCACCAACTACTTAATATTTACACAGAACAATTAACCACCAGTATCATGGGAAGGCATCATCTGTGGTCACGTGGTTACATAACAAGACAAAGCCCAGTGCGTATGACAAAACACAGTCTCTCACAAATAATCTAATTAATTAAGGAAATGTGTTCGAAGTTTAAAAAAGGGAGAATAAGAAGGTAAATTCTGTCATAGGCAATAATTTAGTAAACCGTATACACTTATATTATTTTGATAATGCACTGAACAAATAAAAATGAACATTGCCTTTAACTGCATGTCTTCAATATTTAGGTTGTTACATCATTGTATACAATATTGTTGCTTCACGATAAAAGAAACCCTTTTTATCCATCATTCGCTTACAATTTAGAATGATAATATTCTCCAGTGCTATTCGAATCGGGGGGGGGGGGTGCTTTTTGATAGTTTTGTTTAGAAAATCGTGCGAAAAGTGCTCAGAGTGGTGAAAACCTGCGGGAATTTGAAATAATTTCTGGCCAGGGAGGGGGAAACTACCGAACCTCCAGCTTCCCCTGGTTACGGAACTGCTTATTGGTAATTTGTATAGCCCATTATAAATCTCCATTCAGTTAGAGTCATCAATGGTGAAATCTGTGTTGGAGTTAGCTTCATTATCAACCTCAGTTAGAGTCATTCTAAGTGAAGCCGTTTTCTTTCAATTTCTCTAATATCGCGGGTGCTTGAGCCTTTATTTGTGGTTGTTTACAATTATATCTTTATTAGTTTGCATGGCGAAACTTTTGGGATCAAGATTCAGCTTGGTTTGGCTGTAATTGGAGATTTATCGAAAACTAATGAATTTTGTCCACCATCTTGAATGAAGCTAACTGCAGTTAGAGTCATCCAGTTGTGGAACAGTGAAAAGGTAATGAATATTTACTAACATGTAGAAACATGTAACTGTTGTTGTTTAAAAAAAAGATACAGACAGGATTCAAATCTGGCAACCAGAAAATCATTTGGTTAGAAGTCTGACGCCCTACTGACTGAGCTATCGCCCTTTAATTTCAGAATAACGTCATGAAAAGTACACTCATAGTATTTGGAAATGATCAATTGTAAGAAAGAAGTAATGCCTGTGAACAATCGTCAAAATTGATATCGTAACGAGTTAGTTGCTTTTATTCGACAGTCCCGCTTTAAGCTGGGGAAAATCATTGCACATCTATATTGAAAATGTTATTAAGTATTTTTTACCTTGGTTTATTTGCTAGAGATAATGTATCATTATCCCACCAAAGAAGTTTGAGAAGGATATAGGCAAGCGCTCTGTCTATCCGTTTGTTTATTTGTGTTTCTGTCTGAATGATTACTCAATGGCGGTTCATGGATTGGATTAAGATTTTATGTGTTGATCAATACCTTAATCTGAAAATAGGATCTTTGTACCAGGAAGAATTTTCAAATCAATATGGCCAACATTTTTCTTCATTAATAATCTTTGATCCGAGGGGTGGAGAAGCTATGTTTAAGAAGAAATTTTCCAGATGGTCACTGAATCCAAAATGGCCACAATTTTTTTGTACAAAATGATTCCTGTTTTAAGTTATTTCTGTTCACCAACAATACAGAAAAATCCCCTATGACTCCTGGTTCAAAAGCTCGCCTATTTTCAAAATGGCCACCATTTTTGTCTCACAAAATTCACTTTTGAGCCATTTCCTAGCTTTACAAATAATCTCAGGTGTCCTGCATTGTAAAAATCCATGTCAATGTAAAGAGTAGTTGTATGAAATAAATTTGTTACAAAAAATCAGCAAAAAATGATATCCATTTTTTTTTATTATTTTTAGCCATTTTAGTTAACATTGATTTGTCCATCTGTCTCGCGAAATCCACTTTTCCGTCAACAATAGTGGCACGTTTTAAAACCTCTGTTATTATGTTATTTCTGTTCAACATCAATACAGAAAACTCCCCTATGACTCCTGGTTCAAAAGCTCGCCTATTTTCAAAATGGCTGCCATTTTTGTCTCGCGAATTCACGTTTGACCCATTTCATAGCTTTACAAATAATTTCAGGTGTCCTGCATTGATAAAATCCATGTCAATGTAAGGACATTGATTTGTCCATCTGTCTGGCGAAATCCACTTTTGGACCATTTGCCTTAAAACATCCGTTGATAGGATTCCCGTTTTAGGTTATTTTAGTTCAACATCAATACAAAAAACTCCCCTATAACTCCTGTTTCATAAGCTCGTCCACTTTCAAAATTCAAAAAATTTTATCCTTTTTTTATTTTCTGTCATTTTAGCATTCATTCACTTTTGAGCAACACCATGTGAGCCCAGTACCCATGGTACTATTTATCTAGTTAATTTGTGTGAAACCCTTGGACATTGAGATCACCCTGAGTGAACTCTGGTCCTCTTATCTGACATTTTGACTCAAATAAAATTATCAGTTGGTAAAACATATAAAGCCTGCTATTTTAAACTCTTTATCTATCATGGTTTTAAGTAGAAATCCTTGAAATCAAATTGTTATAAAACTATGAGTATCAATTGACAGGTTAATTGCCAACCAGTGAAGTGTTATTCTATTGTATCTGTTTTTTATTAATTGTTATCTGGGAGTAATCACTAGATTTCATTTTGCTTTTTGTTTGGAAATTGCTTCCATTATAGGCTACAATAAGGTTGAGAAGTTCTTGTACACTGAAATAACTATATTTTTTATTATTGCTAGTTGCTACAGGCCATCCAGCTGTCTCGCAATTTGTGTATTTGTCACACATTCAAGAAATTGAAGTCACACCCATTTTTTGGCATGACAGAATATGACACCCAGAAAATGCTGAAAAATGAAAGCCCAAAAAACTGACATAGCTCGTTCTGAATTTTCACAAGAATTGCGTGTCACACATTTACTTATGAAATATTGACTATTCCTTTATATTGAACAGACTATCAAACTATATAATATTTTCTTGAAGAGGAAGATTAGAAGAAAAATGTTTGAATTTTCTCTAAATCTGACAATGTAAACGTGAAATTAGGTTAGAAAACTGACTTCATACATGTTTTGGTGTCTAAGAGCTGGTATATCGGAATCATCAATTGTCATTAAAATCATCATTGCGTAATTGTGACAAGAAGATAAAGGATGAATAGAACAGTAGTAAAGTGTCAAGATGTAAAATAATTTTAATGAGAAATCACCATAAACAAAAAGTGTAAACATTTTTTGAAATGGCCTCATGCTAAAGTGTTGGTTTTTATGTTTCACCATTACATATATATTTGATTAGTTTTTAGGTTAGAGTGAACTACCCTACTTTATAACAACTGCACACCTCATAAATCTCTTAAATCAAATTAAACAATGTTGCAATTTGTTAGTGGTGAAATGCAAAATAAGGAACAATATAATGCTAAATTGTCTTTCTTCAGACTTTTTCAATAATGCTTATTTGACTGTTTTCTTAAAATATCTTTTTCAGTAATTAGACTGTTTTCTTGAAAGATTCTTATAATGCTTTTATTTACTGTTTTGTAGATGGGAGAAAGATGGCCAAGTGAGCAGAGAGGTAGGTATTTTTCAATAATTGTTTAGTCTTTCTTTATCAAATCATCTATTTTTCTGAATGTATCATATTGAATGAGATGGAAAGGGGAGAACAAGAGAATGCTGAAAAGTGCAAAATTAGATTTTACAATTATTAGAATATGACATATAAAAATACTAGAAATCTGCATTTAAAAACATGTTATATAGAGCCTCTATCTGCATGTAGATTCTTATTTGTTTGGTTTTAGTATACTGTTCTTATAAACAGGCAATGTTTTTAGCTTTTGAGTTTTCATGTACATCATCTTGTAAAGCTTTATGCTTTGTCTGTTTCAGTCTGCATTTCATAATGTTATCACATTTGCCTAGTCTAGACTACAGTTTCACCCTTGGTATGACAGCTAACGAAAATTGACCGGTACGGGTCAAAAGCTGGACCGGTACGGGTTAACGGTTTTATTTGAATTTAAAACAGCCATAACTTGCTCAATATTGACTTCCTCGTGTCTAATTTGAAATATATGATGCCTTCCGATGCTTTTAAGTACCCCAAATTTTTACAGATTTTTAAACGGACCAAAACTCTCTAAATGCGCATTCATGCTCTTTTCTCTCGAGAACGACTGTCTCATTTTCACGATAACTTTTATTTAGTACTTCTAACATATAAGATCTATTTTTCCCCATCAAGGTATGATGTAAATGACATGCTATTTACATCTTGTTAGTTTCAATGACGCGCGTTTGATTTTATAAAAAATGCCAAACTTTGTGACAAAGAATTTCCTCCTGCTTGCAGCGAGAAGACGGACCGGTTCGGGGCAATAGCATGAACATCATATATTGGTTACTTTCTTTGAATAGACATTGAATGGTATTTCTGGATAAGTGAATTGGTGTTTATCTGGGTAATCAAGGGATTATAGTCACTCAAAGTTACTGAGCATCCACTTTTGAGACTTCAATTGTGTTGGTGATGTTACCCATATTTCAGTCAAATTCATGCTGAGCACAACATTTTGGTTTCAATATTATAATCTCTATACATGACCCTGGTGATGAAGAGTCAGAATCAGTCAAAAAACCTAAACCGGAAAACTGTGCTCATTGTGAAAACTAAAAGTGAAGCAACTTTTTTCCTGATATTTCTTACCACAAATGGCAACCACTTTGTTTTTCCCCCTTCAAATTAAACTGGCGGGAAATTCAAAAATTTGAAAAAAATTGTAATCCTTAAATATATTTCAAAAATATGATTTTCTTTTTAATTCTTCATCGGTCTTAAGTTATTTCTTCTTTGTATGTCATACATGTTGCCATTGGTGTTTTTTTCTATGATAATGACTATTTTTTTGTTTGTTAAGATACTTATTCTGACTCTCAGCAGGGGGTTAATTATGCATCAAAATTCAGGAAAAAGTAAATATACTTATTAAATATAACTAGGACAGTAATAAAAACCATATTTCACATACATTTGACTGAGGGACCAAAAGGGCATGTATCCAGACACATCCTTTAAAATTGACATTTGGCCCATCCATTCCAATTTTCAGGTGATCAAATGGTAATTTTGAAATCCCTTTCTTAAAGTGTGATGAAAGGCTCACAGCTGTTCAACAACCAAAAACTCGGATCCTAAGTATTGGCTGACTGACCTATTTAAATCGCTATTCCAGAACTTGACAATATGTATATGAATTTTCAGACAACAGGCTATAACTATACAATTACATATAAATGCCCAAATGATAAGTTATATTATAGTCCCTTGTCTACATTTCTAACTATTGTATTACACAGTTATGGCTAAAGGCTGGGGAGCAAGGCTTACTGGGAGTTAACACACCTGCAGAAATTGGAGGCATAGGAGGAGACTTCATAGATTCTATGATAGTTCTGGAGGAACAGTAAGTTAGAATTACCTTGTCAAAAATTCAAGTACATGTATTTTATGATTGAAGTACTTGTTCAGTGTGAATATATTCATTCAAAAATTTGAGTTTCCTGACACATGTTGAAAACATTTATTCAATCTTTATTTACTTAATTACTCCATCCTTTATGTATTTTTATAAATTCAACACCAGCTCAATCACTTTGTTGTACTCTTATATTATATATTCTTTTCAGTCATCTCCATCCTTCATGCTCTTTTTTCATATGTGACATTTCATCTTTCAGATGCTACAGTAACTGCTCAGGGCCAGGGTTCATCCTCCACTCAGATGTTGTCATGCCCTATCTCAGACACTTTGGTACCAAGGAACAATTGGAGAAGTACATACCTGATATGGTGGCAGGCAAGAAGATTGGTGCTATAGCCATGACTGAGCCTGGAGCTGGCAGGTATGTTACAAACCTCCGTGTCAGTGGTGTAAAATGTGCCATAGGCTTTAGTGTATTCTTTGATGTGTAACTGCTCTTTAGGGAACATATTGCTACAAAACAGTAACAGTTGAGTAAGGACCCTGTTATGCAGGCCAGGATTTTTCAAGTGGGGGTCTACTTTTTGAAATTTTTCATGCAAATTTTTGCACGCACATTTTAGAACAACTTCTCTTTTCGTTTCAAATATATCATGCTTTGATTTTGCCTCTAAACATGTATTAATAGGAGTTGCAATTGTGTTCTATTCCAGTGACCTGCAAGGTATCCGCACAAACGCAGTGAAAGATGGGGATGACTGGATACTTAATGGTAGTAAGGTGTTTATCACCAATGGCTTCATGTCTGATGTTGTCATTGTCGTGGCAGTCACTAACACTGAGGCCAAGTCTAAGGCACATGGTATTAGTCTATTCCTGGTTGATGCTGGCACACCTGGCTTCAAGAAAGGAAAGAAGTTGGAGAAGATTGGTCTTAAGGCTCAGGTAATTAATTATAACTTCTTGCATATACTGTCAGGTGATTAAAATCTGAGAGATATGGCGGATAAGTTGAAATGATTGAAATTGTATCATTTAAAATGTTGAAAGGTCCCATCCAAAGTATGAAAATGTGTTTTATCATTAGCACTCTGCTTGAGAGGGGATTTCAAGATGTCTGCTGAATTCAAATACACATTATCGATTCTTGGTCCAAATTTTATTGACTGATGCCTTATGGGCGTAGGACCTGTACTCAAGAATTTCTAACATCATGTTTACTATATTTGCACATAGCCATCTTTAGATAGATGGCTATGCAAAACTCGGTATTCCCAGCCCATGTTAAAGGTCTTTTTCAGAAATGTTAGAAATCGTGGGAACACTTACACTACTTCAATCGATGTATAACATCATAAAATATCGTTGTAATAATGGTAGAACGCTAACTGGAGTCGGGAGACAGTGTAGTTGACGAAAAATGTTGAAGAGATGATAATTTTCAAGATGGCTTTGGGAAGTTGGGTAATGCGCATGCACTTCCATGCCATGAGATTTCCGCTTCCGGTTACACGCATGCGTATTGGCAAGACTTCCTGGTCAGACGACATGGAAAATAACAAGTTCCAAATACATTTTTCGTCAATTACACTGTCTCCCAACTCCAGTTAGCGTTCTACGATTATTACAATGATACTTTATGATGTTATACATCGATTGAAGTAGTGTAAGTGTTCCCACGATTTCTAACATTTCTGAAAAAGACCTTTAACATGGGCTAGGAATATTGAGTTTTGCAAAGCTATCTCTCAGGAGATAGCTTTGTGTAAACTAAGTAACATCATGTCACATCATAGATGTACATTTTAAGTAGAGCTGGCATCAAATGTCGGAATGGTCGATTGTCAGTCGAATGCTCTCTGCGACACCCATGTTGACACAACGCCTCTTGATCGACAGTCGGAACTCACAACATAATAAGCTATTTCCCTTTGAATTAAAATCTTTGTTACTACCTGCTGTATGGTGTATTTAAGTGAAGTTTTACCGCCTACATTTTCAAATTTTCTTTTTTGTTTTGATCGACTTCCTGCTCTCGAATTAGGTCTCGGGGGCCCTCGAGATTTACCCTTGAGATTTATTTTCAATGGCTGCCCGGAAATAACAACAGAAATCGTAGTTTTATGTATATTGATTGCTTTTTCGTCAAAGTCTGATACTTGAACATGGTTTACCTGTAAGGTAAATATAAAACATACAACTGAGGATGACTATTGTGCATCATATTGCTAATTACAAGCCTAGAAAATCTAAAATTCAGACAGATTTTCTTCAAATTTTTTTTCATTTTTCGAATATCATTGGATCCGACAATGTCGATATCGTTGTCGATCGAGAGCTCCGACATGTCGACATTAAAATCCTATTCGATGCCAGCTCTAATTTTAAGAAAAGGAGACAATGTTACTGCCTGCCTGATTAAATCTTATGAAATATTCACAATGACAATTGATTTAATAAAATATGTTTTGTTTGCTGGGGTTTGCTTCTCTGGGGAGTTGCTTTTCTTTTTTGTGTTATCCTAGCTTGATTTTTCAAAATGAATCTTTTAAGTTAGTTAGAAACAGTCTTTGCTCAAAATAAGTAAGTTAAACATGCTTTATATTACAGGATACATCAGAGTTGTTCTTTGAAGATGTGCGTCTTGGCCCAGAGAGTGTGCTTGGAGAGATTAACAAGGGTTTCTACTACCTTATGATGGAGCTCCCTCAGGAGAGACTAATGGCAGCATCTATTGGCCAGGCAGCTTGTGAATGGATGTTTGAAGAAACAAGAGCTTATATCAAACAGCGTAAAGCTTTTGGCAAGACTATTGCTGACTTACAGGTAACTTGATCCGTGAAATATGTTGCATTTTGTCAGTCTCTCATCTGGTCAAAAAATTGAACAATGCAAATGAATTGAAAATGATTATATATAATACTTTTAAGGGGAATCATTTTCTTCAGGTTACCCAACATAAGATGGCAGAGATGAAGACTGAGATATGTATTGGACGAGCATTTATTGACCAATGTTATGAACTCCACAGTGTCAAGAAACTGGACTCGTATACTGCCTCTATGGCTAAATATTGGTAAGGCAATAATTTTGATACACTGTGATTTTTCATCATTAAAGCCATATTTAATTTGTCGTTCAGTGACGAAATGAGCAATATTTCCTTGAAAATATACTCTAAGGGGGTCCTCTTATTTCACAATAGATCGAAGATAAGTACAGAATAATTTGTAATTAAGGTGGTTGTATACTCGGAGGCTTAAATATAACTTTACAATAAAATGTATATAATTTTTAATTAACCAATGACTCTGACATGGTTATGCTTCATAATCAAACAAAAAAAGCTGATATCAACGACTTGTTTTATATTATTTAAATCTAAAAACATTCTGATTCCCATGTTAGGGAATAGGAGGGTAGGGGGATTAAGAGAATGTATTATCTCCAAATTTGAATGACAGGTTTTAACTTTTTGCACACTGGAAAGTTTGAAATAAAATTGATTTAGGAAATACAAATCACATAACCGACTTCATTTTTTAAATTATTGCTCTTTGAAAAAAATACAATTTTTCATTTTGCTAATTATGAACAAAAGTGCATCAAAATTGCATTACAATGTCATAATTGGGCAAAATGCATTAGATCCATCAAAATTATGTATCTATTTGAAGGAAACTCATTATTCATATTTAAACTGGTTTAAAGATGGCAGCTGAGTATAAAGATTTAATTGTGTATTTGCTACTCAGAAATACTTGAACTTAACCAGCTAAGGTGAGTGCTTGTTTGGCCTTTTCACATTATGTGGGCTCCAAGTGTGATGTCATGTAAGCCCTAAAAATCTGAATTGCCATTTATTTAAGAATCATTTCCAAAGTTGGGTTTATTGTGCAGACCTGCAGAGGTTTTACAAAACATGTTCAATTGGGCTGAATGTCATCTGGGGGGACACACTCTTATGATGAATGATGTGTGTTCATTTGCCCCCAGAAACTGAAATAACTCAATATTAAGAAATTTGTCCCCATTATATATATTTAGATACTCCATAATGAACAGATTTGTACATGAGATAACCATAAAATGATACCAAATTTATTAAATAAAAAACAAACAGTTCATGGAACTTCGACTAAAATTTGATAGAAATGCAAATTGGTCAACTAATTTTGTATGTATAAAATCAGACAACATTTTAATATAGGGCCTAGTTTATATAGATAATTTGATTACCTCATACATAATGTAACCAATTTCTCTGATACACCATCATATTACATGGTTATATTTGACATTTTGAAAATGTTGTATATCAAAGCTGGGTGACATATATATAGAGCTTTACTAACATGTTTTAGCCTCTGGCAAAATTCTTAATTGATCTCACACTCATAATTACGATTGAAGTTAAAGTTCACTGCTGGAGGAGCTACTAATTACAGTACAACCACAGCAACTTATATTTTTGAGTACATATTTCTCCATTATTACTCTTGAGTCTACATTATATTAGCTAGACTGAAATTTTTCACAATGTTAAAAGGGCAATACATGTACTTGTGATCCTGAATTACCTCAGGGATGTAACATTTATAATAACTGGTGCCTTACACCATCAACATTCTTAGATATATTATACTTCTTCTTTTCTGCTAATATTAAAGATGTAGCAAAAATAGCTCAAATGACTAGATATCAAGATTGCAAGCAATCTTACGGAGGCTCCAAAGGTCAGCCGAAGGTTAAATCTTAAATCTAAGGTCATATATGAACTCTAGGCAACTTGTAGACGATTTATAAACAAATATTTGTTTAAGGAAGGAAGTTGAAATTTGACCTTTTTTCAGTTTTTGTACTCTAATATCTCAAAACTGGTGCAAAATTTTGAGATAGTCAATTGCTAATATGTGCAGAACCTCTAGAGGAATAAATATCCTGAATTTCATACATAAATATTGATTTGTAGTCTCACATTTTGAGAAACTTAGAAAACACAGTTTGTGATTTAGCTTGATGACCTTGACCTCAAAGGTCAAAAGTAAGGTCAGATTTGAACTCCTGAGAATTTTTAGATGGTGTTCAAAAAAAATTGGTTAAATTGAAGTAAGTTGAAATTTGGTGTTGAAAAATTGAAATTTGGTGTTGAAAAATTTCGAAATTTGACTTTTTTCAGTTTTTGAGCTGTTATATCTCATTACTGGTGAATAATCTTAATAAATAGTCAACTGCTAATATATGTTTAGTACCTCTAGAGGAATATATATCCTGACTTTCAACCTAAAATATTAATTTGTAGTGTCCAATTTTGAGAAACTTATATAGCACAGTTTGTGACATAATTTGATGACCTTGACCTTGAAAATTTTACTTTCCAGAGCTCAATATGTCTTTTGTGATTAAGCCAACCTAAATTTGAATAAAAAAATCATTTGAAAAATCAACTTTTTGACCTTTCAAATGTTATAGAAGGTCAACTAAAGGTCAAAGGTCAAAAGTAAGGTCAGATTTGAACTCCTGAGAATTTGCAGATGATGTTAAAAACAATTTGGTCAAATTGAAGCAAGTTGAAATTTCAGAGCTGTCAAGTTTCCCGCGAATGGCGGGATTATCCCGTGAATTTGATCAAAATTAGGCTAATTCGCGTGTCCCGCAATGTCCCGCGAAGTCCCGCAAATGTCGGCCTTGACCTCCGCGAATTTCCGAAATTGTTGCAATCCTCTATATTGTGATTATCTTATCTTATATAAGAAGTTTTTGCACTTTTGAGGAGTAAAGTTTACCTAACTTTAAGTACCCAGCATGCTTTTGTTTGGTATCAAAATAAAGAGGAAGGGTTCAACTTTCATTTTAATTACGATAATAGGGATGTAGGTCATAAATTGTTCCAACGTTGGCCTTTTTACTACGCGTGTGGCAAATGAGAACTGAGCGAATGTTAGCAAACGCGAGTTACAATAAATGGACGCTGACATCTAGAAAAGTAACCTGACTCTCTATAATTTGATGTAGATTAATTGAACCCCTATATCATGGACTTTCAATTGAAAGCCCATGCCTATATGAACAGGTAATATATATATATAATACTATGGGGGAAAGCGTTTCATAGTTGGTCACGAACGCCATAAGTGCAAAGTATTGTTCAGAATTTTTTTACCAATCACGCAAATCCCTTGCATGTCCAGGGACATCCTGCAAATTTAGGTGGATGTCCCGCAAAATGCTGCAAATCTAGGGTACTTTGTCTAAAAATCTGTCCCTCTATGAAGTCTTTGGTGGTTAAACTGTTAACTGTCCCGCAATTAGGTTGTTTGTCCCTCGAATGGTCCCGCGAAATCCCGCGAATTTGATAAAAAAAAGGCCTATTAGCTCAATCACGCAAGTCCCGCGAAATCCCGCGAATTTAGTAGATGTCCCGCAAAATCCCGCGAATTTTGGGCACTGGGTCTAAAAAATCTGTCCCGCGAGAAATTCTTTGGGGGTTGACAGTACTGAAATTTGGTGTTGAAAAATTTCGAAGTGTGACCTTTTTTCAGTTTTTGAGCTCTTATATCTCAAAACTGGTGCAAAATTTTAATAGATAGTCAACCGCTAATATGTGTAGTACCTCTAGAGGAATATATATCCTGACTTTCAATCTCAAATATTGATTTGTAGTCTCAAATTTTGAGAAACTTATAGCAGTCTGTGACCTAATTTGATGACTTTGACCTTGAAAATGTTACTTTTTCAGAGCTCAGTATGTCTTTTGTGATTAAGCCAACCTAAATTTGAATCCCAAAAATTAATTTGAAAAATCAACTTTTTGACCTTTTGGAGGTCAACTAAAGGTCAAAGGTCATAAGTAAGGTCAGATTTGAATTCCTGAGAACCTGTAGATGATTTAAAAAATATTTGGTCAATTTGAAGCAAGTTGAAAAAAGACCTTTTTTGACATTCAATATCTCAAAATCTAGGCAAAATTTGTTTAGACAGCAAAATGCTCACAGTAATAGAATACTTATATCTATCTGTATGCAAAAATTCAGCTAAATATATTAAAGTGTAGTGTCAGGATTTGAGAAACTTGAAAAAACTTAGATTTGACCTAGATATGAACTAATTTCCCGACAAGTCCAGCCCAGGTCACTGATAGGACAATATATGAGATAACCCCTTGGAGGGCCTCCTAATTAATTATATAAAGGTTGATCCAACTTTATTTGTGAATTAAGACAAAAATAAACAATTCCACTGACATAGGTTAATTTTTTTTCAAAAATGTGTGTTTCATATTTAAGTTGGAAGGAGACCCCTTATAGTTTCAGTTAATATTAAGTCAAAGGGTTGTAAAACCAGATCTTGCCTTTTTGACTTTTGACTCCTCACTGTGTTAGTATAGAAATAAGATATTTACTAACATTATTCTCAACTTGAATGTCTCCTTATTCACTTTTCGAAGGTTTGCCTGAGACCCCCATGGGGGAAAATTGCCTACCCTGGAAGCGCAACCTACTGTAGTGCATGAATTTCCCCATCCTGGGCCATGGGAGCAATAATGGCTGGCCAAATATTCCTGCCCTAAAAATAACTGATTTTTTCACTCAAAAATGAGTACAAAGTAAAACATCAAATCCCACTCCCTCATCCTGGTCAAAATCCCATCCCCTGGGACAAACCCTGCATGTCAGATTTCTGACCATCCCGGCATGGGGGATTGCAAGCAAACCTTTGAATTGTGCATTTGTGGAAGTACTTGTATATATGTTACATTATTTACATAAACTTTTTATAACTACTCGACCTTGCACTTTGCTGCACCTTACTAAGTAGATATGTAAACTTCCAACCCTTAATCAAAAGTACTCAAATAAAATTTATATCTATGTACAGTCTTGTTGAGCTTTTGAACTCCCACATACTGATGTCAATTAATAGAAGTGTCCAATACTATATAAATCAGTCTACCACCTAGCAATAAGAGTAATTTCAAACTTAGGCTATTTGACGGAGGCATTTGTTAATAACTAGGATGAGTTTCATCCTAGGTTTACATGGCTCCTTTGTCTAGTATTCCCCATTTTACATTCTGTAATTACCAATTCTGTATCATATTGATCCTAACACAATTTCTTGTACTCTTTTTGATCCCAGGAAAGGATGGGCAAATATTAGTAACTCCCTTAAAACACAATAAAAACATGCATGGATGGCACAGTTTTTATTTAGAAAATTCAATTTTATTTTCGGTGAGCGTTTTAAGTTTTTTTGCTATTGCTAATTGATTAATACCACAGTTTAATGAAAATTGTTAGGTCTAATATCTTATTCTGAGGTATGAGATCTATTGAGAAAGGGTGTAAAAGTTTGGTATTTTGCTATAATTCAAATGATTGGTGTCTACATGTAATAAATACTTCAAGACAATTAGACATCTTCAAGTTCTAGAACTCTAATTCTCAAAATTATATTAGTAAATTTTGTCAGTGTATATTGAATATTTTAGTTTAGAGTTCATATCCTGAATTTCAGCTAAAGATATTGATTTGTCGTTCACAACTTTGAGAAACTCATAAACAGTTTCTGTGATTCATTCAAATAACCCTCCTGACCTCTTTAGGACTTTTGTAACCCATGTGACCCCAGGCATCTTTTGAAGGTCACTGAAATAGTAGATGGTTTTGAAAATGGTCAATTTATAGCAAGTTGAAACTGGTCCTTTTTGACCATATTTTGATTTCCAATATTTCAAAATTTGGACCAAATTTCCCTGGTTGTCTTCAATGTCAGAATTGATGTGTGACATTTTCATTAGGTCCTGTGGGAAAGAATGAACATATTCATTATCTTGATGGGACTTGATGAGACTTATTGGGATTCTATGGAACTTACTGAGTCCTGTGGGTCTTTCTTGAGGCAAGCAAAATAAAGTCCCATGTGGCAGGCTCGACTTTGCCCCATTGGAGTGTGTTCGGGTTTTGTGGGGAAAATTAAAACAAATTAATCACATTAATACGTTTGTATGTTTCTGGACCAGTTGGAAGAATGTCTTCATTTTATAGACTATTATTGTATTAACCCCCAACTTTTCCCATCTAAACACTGACTTTCCTGAAATTGTAAACCTCTAACCCACTAATAACACTACCTCCCTTACTTTTCAGGAACACGGATATCCAGAATAAGATAGCCACTCAATGCCTACAGCTCCATGGGGGCTGGGGCTATATGTTAGAGTACCCCATAGCTAGGGCCTTCCTAGATGCCAGGGTTCAACCCATATACACAGGCACCAATGAAATCATGAAGGAACTTATTGCAAGACAGATTGTATCTGATAAATAGACTCCTGAAACCAGTTTCTACCTGTGATTGACAGTGCTTTGAAAACTGATATGTTAATTATGTGTTTACCAGCTCTAAAACCCAATTAAATATGGTCTTTATACTCAAATATAGTAAAACTTCTTGAAGTAGAACACCTTTTGTTTCTCTAAAAAGTGTTCCACTTGTAAGGTGTTCCACTTATAGAGGTTCATTTGACATTCAGTCAATTGGTCTTTGGACTCTGATATGTGTTCCACTTCACAGGTTTCACTGTATGTGGACTTGATATAATTTAGAGAGATTTGATCATGTTGATTGTGGCTTGATATATTTGCTTGCAGGCACACAGACCTCCAGAATAAACTGGTCACCCAGTGTTTACAGCTACATGGAGGGTGGGGGTATATGCTAGAATACCCCATAGCTAGATGTTTCCTGGACTCTAGGGTACAACCCATATATGCTGGCAGTAATGAAATCATGAAAGAGCTTATTGCAAGACCAATTGTTAGTTGAGACTGAGAGTTGAAATGTTGGAGACATCCTCTGCTGTAGGGTCATTAAGAGGCAAGGTCCTGGAGAATCAAGAGTCCTGAATCTGCAGGGTTCTGGATCTGCAGGGTTCAGGAGCAACAAAAAGAGATAAACATTCTTGCTCTTGAAACTCCACAAATAGAGGATGTTAGAGTGAAATGTGAGAATCAAAATATCAATGCAAAAATGATGATTATACAATGTAGTAACCATGGACATCTCACCAAGTGTTAAAATCAATTTCTATAGGTAAATTCACCAATTTAGTTGTTGTTACAGCTATTGTGAATGTGATATAGGCAAAATGCTTTTTTATTCATAATCAGTGCAGGCATTGTTATGATATCATTATGTAATGCAGACAAACTTGAAATTAATAATTAAGAGGGGGTTAAGGGGGGATACATGGGGAACCAAATAATTAATGTACCCCAGCATTTGCCTATTGAAACAGTCAAATACTTTTGAAATGAGGAACACACATTTGAATTATATGAATGCAAAGTTACCTTTAGTATGTAGGGATCATTATTAATTTTGTTAATCAAAGAACCACCAACTAAGAGCCGAGCTTAAAAATTAACTGATATGATAGTCAAAGTAATTTATATTTATATTATAACATGTTGATTAGTATTATTGTAATTATATTGTAGTTTGAACTGGTTTCTACTTGTTTATGTGTAACAAGTTCATGATGAAATGTGATTATTGTAATGTGTTTAATTGCAATAAATCTAATTATTTTTGATATAATGAATTAACTTAACTTTTTGTTATGCTGTTAAATATAATTCAATATTCATGCTGTCATGTATAGAATACAAATGCTTTTGATATCTTTGCTGAATTATTGAACAAAGATCCATGTGTATATAAATAAAGTATATTGAAATGGTTGTTAATTGAAAATAAAAAGGACTGGGTAGGGTTTGCCAATTGATTTTAGACAGTTGTATCTTTAACAATAAATATTTTCTCACCATTTATACAATATTTCTCATCAAAGTGAGATGTTTTCCTCCAAGTATGGTCCCCAGAATAATAAAATTATGAATCTGACTCTAACTGACATAGCACTGAAAATATGTTTAATATATTAAAAAAGAAAGAACTTCCTTTGAGAGAATAAGTCCAAAAATGTCTCATGATGGAGCCCTAAACAATGTTTTTTCAGGGAGTTGGATTGCTACATTTAATAACCTTAGTGTCTGCAACAATTGGTTTGGTTGTTATATTTCATCTCTGGTAAGTCACTCCATAGCATGTAGCCTACATGTATAATAATATAAATAAATTTTTGTGACTGCAAAAAATATGATCAGTTTTCATATATGATCAAAATAAAAAGATGAAATTGTTCAACTTATTTTATAGGTTTATTATCTTAGTATTACACCCCCTCCCACCCACAATAGTATTTAGGTAACCAGGTTGAATAGGAGGTTGAGAAGGGTTAATCTGGTGCAATGCTGGTGCAAGATGTCCTTCATATATGTAGTTATCTTAGCAAAATACTGAATAATTATTTGCTTGTTTACATAGTTGTTCATTTGAGATTTTCTGTGTAAATGGTCCACCCCAATCTCCTATTAATGCAGCATGTTCGATTACTAGCACCATTATGTAAATCTTGAATATTACGAGTAATTTAATAATTTAGCCGTGAGCTATAGCAAAGTCAATGTACGTGTGTCTGTATGTTCATCAATATTTCAAAATATTACAAAATCATAATCTCGATACGAAAGGATAACGCTGTATTTCAGTATTTTGGCAATCCAACATTTAGCTGCTTCAAAAATTGCTCTTTAGTTCATCACTTCATTTTTGCAAATATACCATGTGAAACTGCATTAGTCATCAGGTTTCATTAGTTCTACTGAAATACTCCAAGTTCATTTGTTTTTAGGCTTTTCTTTCTCAAGACAGATGTCATAAAAGCTAGAGAAGTGAAACGATCCAGGTTTTAAAATTAGCGCTTAATTGATTGCAAATGCTGATTGTAATTTAATTTTCAAAGCAAAAGATTTAATCCATTATTTGTAAAGAATTGCACTGATTTGAATAACCTCTGTTAGTAGAACACTTTTAAGAGTCCTAAGACCAACTGACCGAATGTTAAATGAAGCTACTGGAACACCTCCCAAGTGAAACACATTTTAGAATTTAGACGTACCAAAGGTGTTCCACTTCGAGTTTTTACTGTACCTAAAATTCATTCCATTAGTGTTGCTGTTAATAACTGTACTTTACTCTTCAACAAATCAATATTCTAAGCTCCCCTTTCACAATGGCTCAATGGATTATATATTTGAACAATTCAACTTATATTTATTCTAGAAATTTTAAGCGCCACAAATAGTATAAGTCTATAGCAACTACATAAACGAAATTACAAGTCCTGAAAGGTACACAAATCACACTTTTCCAAGCATACATTTTAGTTGCACAAAGCAAGCATATGTAAAACTGCTTATCATGTACACATGAGGTAAGGAACTTTTATAATTAATAGCAAGAAACAGATAATTGACTATCAACTGCCAATATGGAGATAACAAATCCATATGCAGCATACCAATCTAGCATCCGTCATATTGAATCAATGCATCATATCAAAATCAATATAAAAGCAGCCAAGTTTATATTTGAGTATTTGTTGCATTCCAAAGAATCTGCCACATCTAATTAAGATCCTGTGCAACTTTTGCAATGCACGACTGTCTAGTAACACGGACTTTAAGAACTTTTACAGGTCCGTGCTAGTAACTTGTATATATGAGATCCACATGCAGGCTGTATGGTCAGAAGGTGCAATCAAGATAAACACATTTTCAATAGTGTAATGTATGTATGATATCAATATACAAACTTAATTTTCTTTCAATATGTCAATTAACATGTTTACTATTCCAGGATGGTGTTTCTCTGAAAATAACAACAAGTTACTTACTAATGGGCCTAGCTATAGCTCAAGAAAACAACATGGGTTTAATGAGGAGAAATTGTTCCATGAAGCGGGTATTCTTGATCTTGGCAGGATTGTTAGCGATACACATAGTTGTGATGACACTGTTCGATATATACCGACCACCCCTAACTGATTTCCCAGATAATGAACCTGGTTATGGAGACTGTCCTGCGTGTATAACTAGGCACCCTAGAAAGAGCAATTGCAAAGGATGTTTCCCTATCGCATACCCAAACATACTTAACAATGGGAAGATGTGCGAGACTGGGAAATCACTAGACTTTATGATTCTGATAGCATCTGAACCAGAACATGTTAAACATAGAGAGGCTATCAGAGACAGTTGGGTATCTAAGAATGCAAAATATGAAAATGTTACTTTCAAATATGCTTTCATCATGGGGTTGGATCATTCCAATAATACTGCAAATGCAAATGTATTAACAGAAGCAGACACCTCAAATGATATCATACAGTATAATTTTGTGGAACATTTTCGCAATGATACAATAAAGGGAGTTCTAGCTCTAAATTGGGCTGTGCAGTTTTGTCAAAATGCCAATATTTTGATCAAAGTTGATGATGATGTATTTCTTAACATTCCTAACCTAAAGGACACATTAGACAAGACACCATTGGATAAAACTGTTGCAGGACATTGGCTAGCCTCCAGGGGCCCAGTGAGGACTGAAAAATCAAAGGCGTATGTCCCATATTCATACTTTCCTGAAAGTAGCTTACCTGAATACATCTCCAGTTCTATGTATTTGATGACATATGAAACAGCCGTGGAGGTTGTGAAAACTGTGCCTGACACCCCATTTTTCCATCTTGAGGGGGTATATATATCTTTCGTCATACATAAAATTGGTTATGGGGTGAAACAACTTGATGGTTTTAACAATTTCCAAGTACACCCCAATCCCCAATACTACTGCTCATGTCTCACTACCAGTCAGGAACTCGAGCCTGAAGACGTGACTATGATCTGGGATGGAATGCGGTTAGCAGGCTGTACTGAACAAAGGGTCAGATGTAAGACGTCTTATACTCCCTACATCGACGTCACCTGGTGCCGCTACTGGTGGTGGAGGCATACTATCTGGCTCATAGCCAAATGGACGTTCATCATTACAATGTGTATTAATATACCTCTGGGTGGTCTATTAAACTACCTCGGCAGTAGAGGTGTGTATTTGAACGCCCTGCATAAGGCTCTCTACTTGGGTGACACTGACGGACTAGTGGAGCATGCCAAAGATGGGAGATCGTTGAGAGATATCGTAAGCTCAAACCCACCCACACTCATTAAAAATGTCTAATGATCAGAATATGAATGTTTGCTTTTACATGTAGAATTTTGGAATAGAGTGGGGTAGATGTTACCATTAAAATGACAATCACGTCATTGATTGGGCCTGGGGACAAGGCACCAAGCCCAGGGCGATCACAAACCAGACAGTGGTCTTGATTCAAGCCCCAGCCATGTGATTCCACAACACTTGGGATCGAGAATGGCGGTCTGTTATGCAATTTATTAAGTTTTTATTGAAATATTCATCTGGTTCCTTGTCCAAGAGAATATGTTTTGATTGCAATGATTTAGATAAAGAAGACAATTTGATTTTCAGTGATGACTTAGATCTAAATGAAATGAGAAATAATCGCCATAGTTTTGCACACTGAAAATGGGTCGCTTTTGAATAATGAACATTCTGATCATTCTGATTCAACTAAAACAAATGCAGTACTAAAATAGTTGAAATGCCCATACAGGTCTTTTATGTACTTTGCTAGAGCATTTTTCTGATAGAACGTCAGGGATGTAATTTGTGTTCCAAAAAATAAATATTTTAAAAGCATATACAAAAATGTAGATACCTATTGTTATTCAACTGTACTTGGGAAGGACTGGAGAGATATTGCCTCTAGACCTGTAAACGATTTGACAGCCAGTTGGCGAGCATAAACCATTTCACATTTGCTCGTGTGAGGCATTACAATTGGTAAGCAATTAATTGTTAAAGCATCCTTTGAAACATAGGAACTCATTTTGGTACATACATACTTCATACATATGTATTTCATGCATGCATGTTGGATTATTCATAGGTGTCTGATAATGAAATAATGTAAATATAAATAATACAAATAACAAAGTGTTGGCTCAATTTAATAATAAAAGGAGAAACAGTAAAGGTGCAAGAGCTGAGCTATGTGGTTTACATCTTTGGTATTAACTGTTGTAGTCTTGCTCCATACATCTCTTGGTCAAGGTAAGTTGTTCCTTATACACAGCTATAACTAGAATAAAATTGTTTAGTGTTGCGTTCGGTGGCAGTTATTCGAGGCTGTTGCGTCATAAATTTGAAATATCGAGAGGGTGATCAAATGGAGCTGAAACATATGTAGACATATAGGGATACAGGAATATGCCTGGTCTGCATGGTCCGATGTGAAGCCATCGATTCCAAGGCGTCTAATTTTTACAATGGGTCTTTTGATTTGGTAACTTTTGAACATAAAATATTTGACGTGGGTAAGCTTACTTGTCTCGCAATTCACTGGTGATCCACTCGATTACGCTGGTTACCAAAACGAACCGTTTCGGTAACAAAATGTCGGAACGTCGAAGGTACGATTTTTCTTTTTTCTTTATTTCACGCGTTGTAGGCAGAATCCCCACGACGTTTTTTCTGACAAGATATATCAGTATCATATGTTTTAGAAAATGTACATGTTTGCGAAAAAATGCAGATCTTAACTGTTTTTCGAAAAACCGTTTATGTAACTTAAGTGAGGAAGTAAATCGACGATTCTGTTGTCTTTTGAACTATTTTTTCGCAAATATGTACAATTTCTTAAACATATGATAGCCTACTGATGATACACGTTTGTGTTAAGAAATGTCGTGGAAATTCTGCCTACAACCATGCTACAACGTGTAAAATAAGGAAACGAGAAAAATCGTACCTTCGATGTTCCGACATTTTGTTACCAAAACGGTTCGTTTTGGTAACCAGCGTAATCGAGTGGATCACCAGTGCAATTGTACCGTCAAACGTGAATGGGGCAACTGTAACATTCAATTGAAAAACCTGCAACTTCAACAATATACGTCAGAGTGTACTTTTTCCAACAGAGTGTGGGACGTATGTCAGGGTGTCTGACCAGAAGTACGTCTGTCTGACCAATCCATATGAACTATATTACTGTGGGGCTGGACGCGCCATACCTTCCTGGTACAGCAATGGTCCTTCGAACCCGTGTGTATGTAGGGTTGTCCCGCTGCCGATATTACGCACCATTTGCCCATATCCCCCTGGCGAGGTACCAGAAACTACGGAACCAACAGCTCAACCTCCGTTCCTCGTACCAGCCCTGGGAACAATAGGTGATTTAGGTAAGGATTTTCCTAAACTTCAACTAAGTGCCATCGATATTTCGATTTCTTGTCAAATTTGAATATGAAATTTATTCCAAGAGAAAATTATGGACAATGGATTATAACCCTTACCAATCATTTACCAACAAGAAATACGGTTTTGTGCCATGATACTATAGTATTCATTGAAACGGTCAAAGCCGATAGCCCTGAATGAAGATTTTACGTACTAGTATATATATACAGGTTATTTGACTCGAGTCAAACACTTATATTGGCGTTATTTAATGAGAGGGATGGAATATGAGTTTTATTCCGAGGGAAAATATGATATTGGCCAAGGAAAACCTCATATTCCCGAGGGCGATAGTCCAAGTAGGCTAATATTTTCTTGAGTCAAGGAAAGAATTCATTATCCATCACGACCATCTAACCTAGCATTTATTGCATAATATTTTTTCTGAAACTTATTTATTTCAAACTTTTGTATGTCATCAGCCTATTACCTAAACCCGATGATGGTGATACAAAATGATACAATTGATCATTTAAAAAACGAGAAATCCCATGAATAGTTCTGTTACGGGATCTGGTACGGGATTTTGGCTTCGGGATCAAATACGGGATCTAATACAAGGAAAGCATGTTATTATGGACTCAATTTTTATTTTTAGGATGTCCCGATCCGTTTTCCAGTTACAAAAATGTAAAGCGCCAACTGAGTACACGCCACAGCCTACCACTGACAGGGTACCTAGGCTTCCTCACCCCCGAGGACGAGTGTAAGTTCCACTGTCTCTCGGTGGGAACATGTGCCGCGGCGATGTACGACAGGGCCAAACAAGTATGTCTAGGATTCACCTCACAAGCAAAGCAAGACGAGAAGCGATCAGACGTTTGCTGCGAGTACTGGGAAAAACAATGTTGTACCGCTGATTTTGAAATCCCTAAGGCTGGTTCTGGTGGGAGCCGTAAACCTGGAGGTGAATCAACGACTACTGTGTCATCTCAAGGAGCTCAGCTGCCTAATACACCCGGAGCACAAATCGCAGGAACGCCTGGAGCACAATTCCCTGGAACTCCAAGGGCGCAACTTCCAGGTACGCCAGGAGCCCAACTTCCAGGTACGCCAGGAGCACAATTTCAAGGTTCACCGAGAGCCAAGCAATCGGATACTTCGGGAGCAGCACGTCTATTTCCTACAGGACCTCCACTAACAAGAACGAAACCTACTACAGGCGTTCAACCAAGAACAACCCCGCGTCCTGTTTTGGGTATAGCAGCATTCTCATCAGGTATTAGTCATGGCCAAAGCTTCAATTTTTCTATATATGAAATTTTGGCGAGGCAGGCTGCCTCATGCCTGGCTGGCTACGGCCATGGCCGTAAAATCTACTTAGAACAGCGTCAAAAACGGCTTCGAACGGCGTCAAAAAAATGTTATTCGTCAAAAATGATGGAGAACGATTTCAAACGGCGTAAAAAATGAGTTTTACTGCCGTCAAAACAGTGATATGGCTGGCCATCTGGACCAACGTATCGTCATACTTTTAACGCCGTAAAATCTACTTCTAACGCAGTAAAAACGATTTTATACACCGTAAAGAATTACTTTTAACGCCACTTAAAATGATTTTGTACGCCGTCAAAACTGATTTTTTAATAAATTACGTCTGGACGGACGTAATATTACGTCTGCATGGGCGTAATTAACGCCTACACAACCGTAAACAAGGCGTGCATACATAGGGTAGGTTGGCAAACCATATGTGACTGTCTATGTGACACGTAAATTACGTACGTCTTAGCTGGCTGCCAATCAAAACCAGCGTTATATACGTTACAGCGTTTTTGACGGCGTTAAAAGTAGATTTTACGGCGTTACAAGTAGATTTTACGGCGTTGAAAATATGACGATACATTGCTCCATATGGTCAGCCATATTAAAAATCAATTGGTGACGTTTTGTGAAACAAGAGTATGAGTTTGACAGTATGTTGGAAGCTATTCAATAGCACATTTGTATATGATTTTTTGTAAACTGTGTTACTGTGGAACTTCCTAAACAGGCTATTAGATACTCAAACGGACACTCTCACCTTTCAAATTGTATATTTGTTTCTTTCTTCTGCTACTGTATTTTGTCTTCATATATTACTACTTACTCCATACATACCGTCAAAAAAGATTTTCTAGCAATTACTTTATTTCAATTCAGGTCTCCTGCTACAAGGCTATTCCCAGAGTGGGGGGAGATTGTTCAACAACATTGCCCCTATGACGGGTGAAATGTGCCTCGACGCCTGTAAAAACAGCATTGACTGTGAGGCCGTAGACTATCAGCAAACCTTCCAAGAGTGTTGGATACACGAGAAAACATCATGCACATCACATGGTCCTTCCCAGGAAAAGTCCACTATACATTGGAAGCGGCTCATAACATTCTGTCCATAACATTTTTGTCATTTTCGCACATACCCTTGGGTTATAAAACGATGGCAAACAGTTTAGAATTGTCGAAGTAATATGTTTGTAATTGAAACTTCGAGCTTGTAGTACTTGTGTTAAGTACTTTAAAATCGGGACCAAGATTTATAAGTGCGGTGACGTCTATAACAAATGGCAGGTGGTGACATTTTGCATGTTGGTGCCTTGTCTATAAATACGATTATCATTTTTGTTGGAAGAATTTACACATTTTCCCCTCATTTTGGCACTTCGAATCTTTAATAACTCCACCAATTTATAACATATCGTGGATCTTTTGGAAGCTATCAAATTTGACATTGTGTTATGTTTGATATTGTATAATACTACATACACATACTACATACACATACACATACTACATACATACTGTATGTTGCCCTTTGAAATGAGGTTAATGGTATAAATTATCATACCTCATTTCCAGAAATATTATTTCTTAGTATTTTGTTTTTTAGTATTTTTTAACCATAGTTTCGATATTTTTAAAGCTTAGAAAGTTTTTACAATTTCTGTTTCACTTTCTCAATGATTTCATGAATGTCATGTTATCCGGAATCAAAGGTGGAGTAAAGTACAGCTAAACGTGTATACGTGTATATTAAATGTGAACACCTCCCAGTCTGAACACTTTTTCGGTCCCATATTTTCATCCCATTGACTCCCATGTTAAAAAAACTTGAAATGTGAACTCCTCCAAAGGAGTGGTATCGATATGGTGAACTTTTTGAACACACGTTTTTCTTAAACCAGTCATAAAAAAATCTAAAAATTTTACACATCGTCAATTTAATGGTCATCTTTTGAATGGTAATAATATAATTTGAAAAAAAAAAATTTTCATCTATATTGTTTTAAAAAACACATCAAACACTTGATTTGTTCTTGGTATCATGTTTCCAGAGTGAAATGAAACATCTTTCCGAACCTCATTGGAACAAAACGACATAAACACAACATGTTTAGGTCTCTCAATATTGTAATTGTACAAAGGAAATTTTGGTTGATTTTAAAAAGTATCTTGTTAATGAAATAAAAGGTTTATCTTGATTTTTATCTATTTTGGGGAGATTTTGTTTTACTTTTTGAATACTTTTTGTAAAATCAACCAAAAATTCCTTTGTATATAATATTGAGAGGTCTAAAAAGATGTTGTATATGCTATTTTGTTCCAACAAGGTTCGTAAAGACATTTTTTTTCATTCTCAAGAATTGGTAGAAAGGAGCAAAAACAATTGCACTAAAAATCAAAAAATGTTAACAAAAACAGTTATATAAAATATTTCTAAATAATTTTCGGATTAAATTGTTGTCAATCAGTCAACATTACATAACAGAATGTTTTCAATGATTGGTTTAAGAGAAAAGCATTGTTGAATTCAGTTCACCATATCGATACCTATCCTTTGAACAGTGAAGTCATATTTGAAAAATAAACCTGTCTGGACAATTTTCATAAAATATCACACGTTTCATACAAAATTGCTCAAATATCTGAATATATAAAAGTTAAACACTCAATGTCATGATATCAATTTTTTTTGAAAAAGAAATTGAATGGTCTCAATCATATTGGGATTTTTCAGCATGACTAATCAAATTACCTAAATGCCATTAAGATATGTGGTCAAAGGAACTATAAATATTTATTAAGAATGTGTGTTCATATTTCTTCAAAATCCAGAATAGCGTGATTGCAAAAGCCTCAAAATGTGAACACCTCCTAATGTGAACGCTTTCAACCGGTCCCAATGGTGTTCGGATTAGACAGGTTTTACTGTATCTAAGTTGTCACGCAGTAAAGTAGAATAAAAAACAATGTTCTACCTCTAACCCCATATTCAAATTCTTGCCATTCATACATTGTATGTACTTTATATTGGCAAAGAACTACACAATAGAACGCTTGTAATTTAATTCAATCTATTGTATTGAATTCGAATCAATATCGGGGATACAGCCACCACCAAGGCATTAGCTACACGAAACTATTTGCGAGGTGAAGACATGGAAGAAAATAACATTTACTTTATTCAGATTTCAAAATGGTACCCACATACCCATTAAGTAAAAAATAAAAATCGGGACATTCTTTAAAAATCGGGAGAAATCGGAATCGGGGTTTATTTTCTGAAAATTGGGAGAAAGTCTAGATGTCTAGAAAAAAATCGGGGTTCCTAAATAAGAATTCGAAAAAATCTGGGTTAAATCGACAATTCGAAAAAAACACCTGCAGAGTCTAGTTATAAACTACATAAGAAATCGAACGAATGATGAAGATCATTTTTGGGAATACCTATAACAAGGCATGGCCTATGCTAACAATTCCCAACTATTGATGCACTAAGAATAACACTGAAACAAAGATTAGGAGAATTTCATATAGGACAGGGTTATTAACTCCAATGTGTAAATATCCAGTGATTAAACACCGAGCAGCTTGTATCAAGCTCATCACAAACTTTTTAGGTATGCCCACCAAATACACTGGTGATCCACTCGATTACGCTGATTACCGAAACGGTTCGTTTTGGTAACAAAATGTCGGAACATCGAAGGTACGATTTTTCGTTTTTCCTTATTTCACGCGTTTTGTTACCAAAACGAACCGTTTTGGTAACCAGCGTAATCGAGCGGATCCCCAGTGAAATATGAAAAAAAACTTAGGCCTACATCACACAAAGCTTTAATGTTTGTAAGACATTTCTAGGAAAAGTTTTGGAAATTTTCCTATTAGGTCAGACTGCAATTTCTACCATTTTGATGACAATGTGCTTTTTTCAGATGAACGTAACACAATCCAAATACGTTCTGCCTTAATAGAAAATGGTACGTTATCAAAAGTGTGAATGACTTTTTGGACCACCCTGTATATATCAAATATGTTCAAGTTGATTCTGGTTCTCTGGACTACTCTGGTAAAACACATTTAAAAAGTCAAAGATACACAGTTGATATTATTCACACAGTAAGTTGTCAAGTAGTACACGCTATATTCTTTTAAATGGAGGCCATTTAAAACTAATTATCACTGCTTAAATTTGTCCCGTGTGGGACATGGCAACCTGTACATTCACGTAGATGTAGTAAAAGACAGGTTTTTAGAAAACGTGTATCTAACCTCCCTATTGGAATGACCTTCTCGATTCACGTCGGACCAAATAGAGACAGAGGCCAAAAATAAGTTAACGAATGCGATTGTCTAAATGCATGAATTACAGCTTCATTTAAAAATCAAATTCCAAATCGAGAGCATTTCTAAAAGCTAGACTATATTGTCTAAATTTGTGCCTAATGATAATCCGCAACATGACTTATACGTTAGTTTAAATCAATAAAACAAAAAACTCGTATCCATTTTGTTACATTGACGTTACTATGTAAGTGTCCCATCCTTAATTGCCCACCCTGTACTCAAATGATCCGTCCTTTTGTCTGATTACAAATAAATCACGTTGCTGCATATACACACAGTGTATACAAGGTATGAATGCAGCTTACTATATACATGATATATAACGAATGCACAAGGTATGTTTTATTGTGGGCCGAGACCATGAAGAGAACTAAATCGATAAAGTACTGGTCAGTATTCGATAAATTAAATCCTATTCAAACAATTCATTGATAAAGTACTTAGTGTGAACGTACATAGCTATGTAAAGTAAGTGAAGTATTCAAAGCACACAACACAGGACGTTGATTTGCTCACTACGAGAGAGCTGTTCCAATATCACTGATTAGTTGATGCATATGGATATTACATTATTCCGTGCCATTAATGCCTTTGTATGTTGTATGGGATCTTCACAGGTAACCCAGCCAGGTGTAACTCCAGGACTATTCCGAGCAAATGGTGTATTTTCAGGTACGAAGTCAGGTTAGTAACGAACTCCATCACATTATTTACATAGTAAATTGTTTACACCCATACCTTCGCATTTTGAAATTATTTTCGATCAACAGAAGATGAATAACTTATGCCTTTTGCATTTTTAGACTTGTAAAGCAATACTAGTATTCATTCAAACATTTCTTCTTGATCCCTTTTAGGTCAGTCTGTACAGTACTTTGATGAAATTCCATGACCATGTGCCTTTTCAGATAACCATATCTCATTCCATACATGGTCTACATATTTCATTTTTGCACAATAGGTACATTAGTGTACCTACATTATTAATTGAGGGTTGATAATTCTTTAGAATGCATGAATAACTAGAATATTCAGTGGTCTACTTTTCAAAATTGCAAAAAGTCCAGTTGACATTATTGGCACAAAATACATCGTCGGCCACATGCTCAATCACGTCGTTCTGAATACAGGTACGAAGCTTGATGAAGCAAGATGGCAAAAAGACGATCGTAACAGTTGAAGTTGATAAAATAAGGTAAAAATGTGACAGCTTATTTTCAAAGATGCGATAACCCATCAATCCATCTTGACAAGTCAAAATTGCCATGCAATAAAAAATATAATTTGAAATCCAAACTTACATTTTTTGTTACACATTTTCAAGTTTTATTTCGCTTCTTTGAAAGAGCTTTCTTTGTGGTTTGTATTTGGCTCTCTGGCCCGGTTGTCTGAAAGTCCATAATTTCCAATATTGTCTAGATACATATCCCTTAAAATTTGTATATTTCACATTTTGTATAATCTCATCCACTGATGTATGGCCTCTTGAAAATTCTCTTATTTTTAACATGGGAAATTCTCACTTCAGCAAATCCACCTGTCATTTATTTATGTCCCGAACTGTAAACAATATGCTGTGTTACTTTTTATTGCATTTAATTGTACCTTACTATTTAATTGAAATTTTGTAATGTTTATTTTATTGAAGAAATGGTTCCTCCAATTGATAATTTTGTGCAAAAAATTTCACTGCAATTTCCACAGGAAAGTAGTACATCATAACAGACTGACGTCTAGTCAGTCTGTTGGATACATACTAGCCTCAGGGTGATCAATGGCCCAATATGTATGGTGTAGGCCAAAATCTAGGATGAAGAAGATAGCTTTCTCATCCAAGGCCAACATACATCATTGCCAAAATTTACAATTTAATTTTCAAGATCTACCTTAAGGTAACGCTAAAGTTAATCAAAAGTACAAAAACATGGCAGTCATATTTTTGATAAAGTCACAAGATTTTGTGTATCCGTTTTCCTTATATGTAAATGCACTGACTGACCAAAGAGACACGTCAATGAAAACTTCACATTTAAACGCAATTTTTATAACTATGAATTGGATGTGCATGGGTCCTTAAAGTTAGCATGGAGACAGTGAAGTGATGATAACTTTTCAAAGAGAAAATTTCAAGGAGTAGGATTGCAATGGAGACACATTTGTAGTTTTTCCACAAATCATCTTACCTTACCAAGGAACATCGAAGGAGCATGAAAATGTGTGCTTCTTGCATTGTTAGAGTATAATAAAGCTTAGCTCAAACCATTGTGAATTCTAAATATTTCATGTCCACCATTTTGTTTGCTGGGACTATTTTCTAGTCCAAAGTAATCCTAACTCATGTATCCATTGTTTATCATTTATAAAGCCTTAATCATGTATCTATCATGATAATTATACTGTTATAGATAAAACATACTTGTGATAATCCATGCCACTTGGTGAAGTCACAAAACTTGTTTGAGGATTAATCAGGAAGTCTAGAAGTAGTTCCTGCAAGCAAAATGGTGGACATGAAATATTTATAAGAAACTATGGTTTGAGCTTTATCATACTCTAACAAAGCAAGAAGTGCACATTTCATGCTCCTTCGATGTTCCTTAATAAGGTAAGATGATTTGTGAAATTTTGGAGTCTTGCAAATGTGTGACTGTTGCAAGGCTACTCCTTGAAACTTTCAAAAATTAGCCTCACTTCACCTCCTCATGCTAGGTTTGGGGATCCATGCACCTCAAATTCATAGTTTTGAAAAATGCGTTTAAATGTGATGTTTTCTTTGACGTGTCTGTTTAGTCAGGAAATGTATGCACGAGGAAAACATTATACAAAATCTTCTGACTTTATCAAAAAAATATGGCTGCCATCTTTTTGTACTTTTGATTAACTTTAATGTCACCTTAATAAACTAACGCTTTTCTTCATCCTAATATGTATCATCATGTATCATCAAATTGGAATGTTTACACGTAATCTGTACGATCAATATGATCGATGTGTTTAATGTCTATACCATACCATCTGCTAGTACGTACAATCAATTTTGATAAAAGCATCCCTGCCTCTCGATATACTTTAACTGCTTGACCATTAACATTAACACTGGTCTCTGCTGAATGATATTACACGTCAATGGGCATGATAGTCCGGATAATAGTATATCAAAACTCCTTTGTCTTTAGACATACTCAAGATGGTCTTTATAACTCTGATTCAAAAGAAGCCGCCCTCTTTTTAAGTGCGAAGTCAAAATTAAAAGTCAATGTTGGGAGTCTATGGTTCCCCCATTCAGATACTCATCACATCTTCTGCCTTCAACTTGAAAGAAGCTAATAGAAGGCCATGACTTTTCATAATGATGGTCTCCTATAATATTAGTATTTAGTCTTGGAGAGTGGGGAGTGAGGGTTTGATTAAAAAGAAAAATGCCAAATATACTTTCAAGGTAGAATGTACACTGTGACTGTAACACTATTGTATTCAATAAAGACCTTATAAAAAGGTAGATTTATTTATCAATTTTCAGTTTACAGGCAACTGACACCCACGATACGGGTTTGACAAGATATAAAACTGTTTTTTAATTAAATTTGAATATTCATATAACCCAGGTTACTTATATTCTTTACCCCCTCTAACAAATTTTACATCGAGATATCAGCGCTCCTTGTCTGTAGACACCGGTTATTTTGAATTTGAATTCGTTATTATATACAGGGTGGTCAAAAAACGGCAACCCTAGTTTTTCCTAATATCTTTGTCATTCAAGAAATAACTCCCTGATATTTTACACATTTGTACATCATTCAATTTCCTACCAACCTACCATATTTCATGACCATCGGACTGATAGTCACAATATTACTGCATTTTAAGCAACATGCCCCAGATTGCCACTTTCAGGCTGTTTGAGCTGGTTTGTTATTCAAATGAACTCCATTTCCAGCTTGATGCACTGGTAAACTCTAACAATTATGTATTCTTGGGGAACCAAGCACTTGATGAAGTAGTGGAGAGGCACCTTCACACAGACAGATGCACAGTTTAGTGTGTTTTCAGAAGATAGGGTCCTTTACCTTTGATGATACCAACGGATATGCAATAACTGTCAACATCAAACTCTATTTTGTGATTCCCATGGAGTTCTTTGGGACTTTAGGTGAACCCAGGGGGGTTGATAGGCAGCAACAGTGGTTCCAACAAGACAGAACCATACCCCATACACCCAATGATGCACAATAATGCCTTTTGGGACCACTTCAATGACCACATTATCAGCAGTACAACAGACAACAATGAATTGGCACCCCATAGCCCAGATATGGCCCCATTTAATATTTACCAGTGGGGATACCCCAGAGATAGAGTGTAGGTTAATAACACCAGAAAGACATTTGACCTCAAAGTAAATATAATAATGTGTCGTTCAGGCCATAATTGCTGAGGAATACAGTTATGTCATTGACAGGTTTGGAAAATGTGTGCAGGTTTGCCTACAGCACGATATTGGAAAATTGGGGCACCTTGTTTAAAGTGCTGTAACATTGCGACTATCAGTCCAATGTTCATGAAATAAAACAGTCTAGTATGAAATTGAATGATGTACATGTGTGTCAAATATCAGGGCAAAATTTCTAAAAATAACAAAGATATGAGGAAAAATTAGGGTTGTCGTTTTTTAACCACCAGGTGTATTTTATAAAATGAGCCGTGTTGGGTATTCAATTGTAATTTATAAATATGTACCCGAATAAATGTGCAAAGATGATACCCAATAAAAATGAAATAACGGAACATAAGAGAGCAATAGGCTAGAGGTAATAATTCAGCTTGGTAAACTCGGAGTTATAAAATCATGCAATTATAGGTTTGGTAAAAACATTCGACCACCACTAATAGGCCTGTTCTGAACATACTTAAAGTTTAACACTAAATTAGCACCAAATTAGCGCCATAATAGTACTAGATTAGCACACACGGGTTCTCTATTGTCAATCATATGTATAAAAACAGTATTCCAGAACCCAAAAAATCGAGCCTTTTTATTATCAATACCTCTTAATTAATATTTGCTCGACTGAAAAATTTTCATTATCAATATCTCTCAAGTATTATATTTACTGAACTGAAAACACTTTTTTCTCAATGCATAGGATTAAAGATTTTGAATAGAACGTAGTTCACGTCGATCGATATTTTGTTTTTTCAAGAACTATAAGCACATGCCACTACGGCATGCTGAATTTCTTGTCAACTGCATTTTGTTCGTGTTATGGGCCATATGCTCCGATCCATCGGCCGGCGCCCGGCCGATTGAGTGTGTTGTTCAAAATTGTATTATTCAATTTTGAACATAATACTCAATCGGCCGGGCGCCATCGTGAAAATCGGAGCAAATGTGACCAAGGCATAAGGTGGTCCGTGTCAAGTGATCTTTTGGCGTAATACTGCCATCTTAATTTAAGCCATTATAATACTTAATATTAACCAAAACATTCATTTTTATTACACATTTCTATGTGTAGGATGCGCATAGGGCGAACAAATGTTCTCGTCATATAATTGTAGGTATTGGACGAGGCATACTTTGAAGGGTAACATATGTACCAGTTAATGTACAAGTTAATGTACAAGTTAATGTACAAGTATTCCAGTGTCACGCGTTGGTCTATCATGTCTATAGGTCAAGTGGTCGTCACTATCGGCAGACCAGTGCTATCACCATTCTGATTTACCACGAGTCTCTCTTTATCAAGGACTTGTCTCTCTATTCCAAGCTCGGATAGTAGAGACTGGATGATCCAACAATATGTACTCCTTAATAAAAGAGAAATGTTGCGATTAGTGCACGTTATGAAGTTCCCTGCAATATCAGTGTGCAAAGATTTCGTGTACAAAATGTAATTTTACGAATAACAATATGGTAGTTAATTTCACGCATTGTCATGAACATTTTTGAATGCTTAATAAATATATTCCCAGTGCGTTACTCTTTTCAACCTAGATGAGAGCTTTATTTTACACAGCCTTCTTGGCTCCAGAATTCATTTCCACGTTTCCATTCATATACAAGGGGCGATCCATATATTGTGATAAAAATGCTCTAATTTTGTGATTTTTTTCACATATCCCTTTTATTTTTTTCATAACATGTAGATTATGTAATTACACATGCAATGCTAAATTATTATAGCTATATCTTACATTAATTTTGAAATAAGGTTGCTATGGTAACCTGTATTTAGGGTAGGCAGGTCAGTTAAATCATAACGTATAAAATAGATAAAATTGTTAGTCTAATCATTTCTCGATACCTATTTTAAGCAGATCAAACGCATCTTCCGGTCATTGCCAACTATTCGTTGAACCGTTCCATACCCCTGTTGCCCTTGTTTGATTACCTTGTTTGATTGCGTGGAGAGTCTAGTTAAACTCTCTTTTAAGAAGTGAAGTCAAACGAATGCAAAGGGTATTGTTTGATAATTTGCACAGTGTGATAGCTATCTTTTTATAAGTAACATCTCAATTTATCGTAGTGTTATTCTCTGTCCACAAGTTCTTCTTGCAATCAGATTGTGGATGATCTTCAATAGTGGCCATGCCTTCCTCTTTACAATACTACCTATGGATTCTTTAAGCAGATATAACACCTTGCCCATACACTTAACGAGTCCATGTATGTCTCTGACGGTATCCTCTTACTTATTCTTGATAGTACATAAAATCTATGGTATTCCCTAAAGTGTCTGTTAATGTCACACTCTGCATCAGCCACATTAATCTCATCTGACATTTTGATTTTTGGTGTGTCTCATGCCATGTTATGTCAATTGGCCCATTCTGTCATACATTGCTATTATGAGCTGTTATGATGTTGTAGTGATGTGAGTGAGCACAAATAAACAATTGTTTAGCAACAAACAACGAGTCACAATACCAAACCTTTTTAGAAAAAACTGATGATTTCCGCATGCTTTAAAATAATTAAAATAACATATTATTGTGATATTTTATATGTTATAATTTAATTGACCTGCCTACCCTTAATACAGGTTACTTTGGGAACCTTATCTCATGAATAATTTAAGATATAGCTATGATATTTCAGCATTGTTTGTGAAATTACGTAATCTACAATTTTTGAAAAAATCAGAGGGATATGTGAAAAAATCACAAAATTAGCATTTTCAGAATGGATCGCCCCTTGTATTAGGTTTAAAATCAAAGAATGGGTATCGATATGGTGAACTTTTTGAACACACGTTTCTCTTAAAGCAGTCATCAAAAAAGTCTGTAAATTTTACACATCGTCAATTTAATGGTCATCTTTTGAATAGTGACAATATAATTTGAAATAAATATATATATACTTTTCTCTATATTGTTTTAGAAAACACACCAGACACTTGTTTTGTTCTTGATATCATATGTTCGGAATGAAATGAAACATCTATCTGAACCTCATTGGAACAAAACTGAACATAAACAGAACGTGTTTAGGTCTCTCAATATTGTAATTGTATGTATGAAGGTTTGGTTGATTTTAAAAAAGTATCTTGTTAATGAAATAAAAGGTTTATCTTAATTTTAATCTATTTTGGGGTTTTTTGTTTTAATATTTTGAATACTTTTTGTAAAACCAACCAAAATTTCCTTTGTATAACTTCAATTGAGAGGTCTAAGAAAATGTTGTATATGCTATTTTGTTCCAACAACCTTCGGAAAGATATTTTATTTCATTCGCAAGAATTGGTAATAAGGAACAAAAAACAATTGTACTAAAAAACAAAAAATGTTAATAACTGTTTAATGTAAAATATATATAAATAATTTTCGCATTAAATTAAATGTATATGTTTACCTATCTGACAATGTACAAGTAAATTGCCTGATTCCTTAAAATGTAAATGTCAGCCAAACTTACATCTATCTGTAATTGCGATCTGAACTGAACTTGAATCTTTATGCTCTCCAAAAAACGGAAGGATTAAGATACATATATCATTATAATATAAGGTTAAAATTGCATCAGTTTGTAATATGTGTATTGTGACCTATTTCAGAAACGTTAGTCCTGTCCTGACCTGCTAGCTTCGATGAAATCGGGCGTCGACTAACGGATGATCAAGATGTCACCATGTCCCTCCATCAGTCGCAGGCAATTGTTGTTTACTCTCTCTGCCTGCTCCATATTGGTAATTACTCTTCAATTGATATCAACTAAAACTATGATCTTCCAACCCAAAGTTACCGTCCAGTTATCGTCCACCACAGATGCATGCGCGACGTGTATAACTTCATACAACCGACCTGAAACATGTGATAATTGTTTCGCCCACAACTTTAACTACACGATTAATAACAGAAATCTATGCAAAAGTATACCTGGCTCGCCTAGGGTAGAAATACTTGTCTTGGTCACATCATCGGCTCATGAAAAAGACAGGAGAGATGCAATACGAAATACATGGGGTGTAGTTGCATCACCTTCAAGTAGTTTACGACTAGCTTTTTTACTAGGAAAACATTCCAACGATACTGTCAATGCTTTACTTAGAGAAGAGAATAAACTCCACTATGATCTCATACAAGAGGATTTTGAAGATAGCTACATGAACTTAACTCTGAAATCCGTCATGGCCCTTAAATGGGCTGTGAACTTTTGCAAAAATACCGATTACATTATGAAAACCGACAGTGATATGTTTATCAACCTTGACAATCTGAAGGACATCTTGAAAGAAAATCCTCTAGGGAATGAAATTGGTGGCTTTGCAAAGCCACCCGAAAGTCCCATAAGAGACCCACATTCAAAATGGTATACACCAGAATCCTTTTATCCTAACTCAACATTCCCATGGACATTTTCAGGAACAGGATATGTCATGAAATATGAAGTAGCAAAAGATGTACTCGCCATGAGTAAAAACACTCCATTTTTTCATCTTGAGGATATCTACATAGCATTTAACATACACAAACTTGGTTATGGAGTTAAATTTCTAGATGGGTTTAGCACTGATAGGACTTTCCTAGACCCAACATACTACTGTGCCTGCGTTACCTCAAGCCACCAACTGCTGCCTAGAGACCTATATCAAATCTGGAAAGAAATGGATGATATGAAATGCTCCGTCGTTCGCAAAAGTTTGAGATTTGGCAATCAATGTCGCAATCTTCACATTAAGCATACAATGTGGGTCATTCTAAAGTATGGACTCATAGGAATTTTAGTAATTAATATACCTTTATATGTCTTATTGACATATCTAGGGAGACAAGGAAAATTTATTAATTCTTATCATAAGACATTGTACTCTTTGAGTCAATTTCGAGATACAAGTAGTCCACCGAAAGATTTCAATGAATTTATGGAAAAGATGAGTGGAAGTACACATCTCAATCAAAAATGAATTGTGGTTTTTAGCTGTGATATGGATTAGGTGAATAAATTTATTGAAAAATTAGTGGAAGTACACATCTCAATCAAGAATGAGTTGTGATTTTAAGCTGTGATATGGATTAGATGAAATTAATTTATGGAAAAAATTAGTAAATGTACACTTTTCAATCATTAATGAATTGTGATTTTTAGCTGTGATAAGGATTAGATGAACAATTTATGGAAAAATTAGCGGAAGTACACATGTCAATCAAAAATGAAATTTAGTGATTTTTAGTTTAGGTGCAATAGGTGAATGTTCCTTCAAATCAGTAAATGAAATGAAGTTGCAACGCCAGATGCAAGGAAGATTGACTGAGTCATGACGGGATTACAAAAATTCAAAATCAAACAGTCGCCATTTTTCATCACTTCAGGATTTGAATCACGAGTTTTGGTCTTTCCAAACAAATAATTCAAAAAAACACAAGAAATGATCAAGATAGTTCCTTTTGGATCGCTGATCATGAATTTATAGTCAGTTATAAAGTCAGAAGACTATCGTCGAGGAATATAATCAAGGACGCTATATCTTGAGATCGTTATTAAATGGAATAAGGTATGAACGAGAAAACGTCCTATACATTCTAAGAAACAATTTTTCTACTAGTGTTCATTACAGGTATACTAGAAGTAGTATAAGTGTATAGATTTGTACTTTACTTCGAAGAGATACTGTAGAACCAGTGCCCCTTTTATACAGTTCCGTGTGATACTTTTGTAAATTATTTTTATTTTACAAGTTATCAACACACCAAAAATTATGGGGACTAATGTTAGATAAACGAAGATATATTTTATGCCCAGGGTGCCATATGTTGCCACATTTATATATTTATAAAATCAATGTTTATATGTTCACTCTACTATACCTTGCATTTAGTGTTCATGAGCAACCCATTTGGCTTATTAGTAATGATTATGTATTTGTTTTTATTTGTCTGTTCCTTATAAATGGTTTATCGGTTGAAGAATAGATGTTACTAAGGCACTTTCAAAAATATACTAAACAATTCAATTGGACAAACAAAGTATCTTATGCATTTCTAGGTGTTAGGTATAGTAGTGTGATGTTCTATGGCTTTGAAGCTGAAATGCTGAGGTGTCGGCGACACAGCTAAATAAATTATGAAATTATTAAAGAATAAATGATGAAAATACATAAAAACCTATTACTTTTATATCTACATTCTACAACTATCTCATCACCATATAATAATGAATGCGATGTGAAATTGATGACATATACAGTGATACCTTTAAATCTTCGTTGACTTCCATTCACTTACAATTTGTTTATAAAACTTTGAAATATGAACACCTGCTGTTAGGTGTTCGAATTAGACAGGTTGTACTGCAATAAGAGAGAACGCATATTTCAAGAAAACCTGGATATACAATTTTTTATGATCAATCAAAAATGCATATTCTTTTCTCAATTACCATTTATATTGAAGGAAATCTGTAAAAATAACCCCAATCCCAAATTACTATAATTTATTCTGTTGTTTTCCAAAATTTAAAATAAACTCGTTGTGCATTCATCAATTATAAGCGTTGTCATAAATGTCTTTAAGGCTATATCTTATCGGGAAGTGTGTTATATTTTTTCTTCGTCAGCTTGCTACTGGATTACTAATGAATTATTTGTACGAGTACGTGGTAGTATATTTAGATAAAAAATGAATTAAAAAGCAACTCCTCACTCAGTTGTGTATACATTTAATCGCATATATGCAAAGTAATCTTTAGAAACATTTAAAGCCAAACCTGGCGTACACCTCCTTTGTAATTATGATTAAACTTTTGGTTGTTTCATTAATCTGTTAATATGAGCTTCCACCAGGATACCATTTAGGAGTATTGTATATTTTGAATTTATGAGCAATTTGTAAATGCAGGAATTCTGTTATTTATCTCACATTACCAACATACTCAATTAAAATGGCTGAAAAAAAAACAGATATAATTTTTTGCCAATAATTTGTAACAAAATTAACCCACCCGAGCCCCCTAATTTTCCTCCGAGAGAGACTCTGTGCAAGAAAAGTAAATAATTAAAGTTAACCTAAAAAATTAAATTATTTGTTTTATAACTATTGCTCTCCGAAGAATACAATTTTTGTATGTTTTTATCTAATATGTTGCTAATTGTGTACCAAAGTGCAACAAAACTACATTAATGATTAAGACACCAATGTATAGAAATAATTTTTCAAAAGCGTGGTATCACGAAATTTATGTGTCCTCGACCTGTACACTCAAATAATTCACTTTCTATGGAGCCAACTATAACCAATAAACAACTCCCCGCAAGCCTTTACGATTAACAAATTTATATATTTTTATATTAAAATTAGTTCCGTGGGTACTCGGCTCACATGGTGACAGAAAAAAACGGATATAATTTTTTGCTGATTTTTTGTTACAAAATTATTTCAAGCCATCTGTCTCTCAGTCAATTAAAATGGCTGAAATTAAAAAAAAAATTTGTAACAAAATTATTTCATATATCTACCCTTTACATTGACATGGATTTTTACAATGTAGGACACCTGAAATTATTTGTAAAGCTAGGAAATGGGTCAAAAGTGAATTTCGCGAGACAAAAGTGACGGCCATTTTGAAAATAGCCGAGCTTTTGAACCAAGAGTCATAGGAGAGTTTTTTGTATTGATGTTGAACAAAAATAACTTAAAATGGGAATCCTATCGACAGAGGGTTTAAGGTAAATGGTCCAAAAGTGAATTTTGCGAGACAGATGGACAAATCAATGTTAACTAAAATGGCTGAAAATAAATAAATGGATATAAGTTTTCGCTGATTTTTCGTAACAAAATTATTTCATACATCTACTTTTTACTTTGCTATGGATTTCTACAATGTAGGACACTTGAAATTATTTGTAAAGCTAGGAAATGGGTCAAAAGTGAATTTTGCGAGACAAAAATGGCGGCCATTTTGAAAATAGGCGAGCTTTTGAACCAGGAGTCATAGGGGAGTTTTCTGAATTTATGTTGAACAGAAATAACTGAAAACATGAATCCTATCGACAGAGGTTTTAAAACGTGCCACTGTTATTGACAGAAAGTGGATTTCGCGAGTCAGATAGACAAATCAATGTTAACTAAAATGGCTGAAAATAAAAAAATGGATACAATTTTTCGCTGATTTTTTGTAACAAAATTATTTCATATATCTAATCTTTACATTGACATGGATTTTTACAATGTAGGACACCTGAAATTATTTGTAAAGCTAGGAAATGGGCCAAAATTGAATTTCGCGAGACAAAAGTGACGGCCATTTTGAAAATAGCCGAGCTTTTGAACCAGGAGTCATAGGGGGGTTTTCTGTATTGATGTTGAACAGAAATAACTTAAAACAGGAATCCTATCGACAGAGGTTAGCTAGGAAATGGGCTAAAAGTGAATTTCGCGAGACAAAAGTGACGGCCATTTTGAAAATAGGCGAGCTTTTGAACCAGGAGTCATAGGGGGGTTTTCTGTATTGATGCTGAACAGAAATAACTTAAAACAGGAATCCTATCGACTGAGGTTAGCTAGGAAATGGGCTAAAAGTGAATTTCGCGAGACAAAAGTGACGGCCATTTTGAAAATAGGCGAGCTTTTGAACCAGGAGTCATAGGGGGGTTGTATTGATGTTGAACAGAAATAACTTAAAACAGGAATCCTATCGACAGAGGTTTTAAAACGTGCCACTATTGTTGACGGACAGACAGACGGACGGACAGACGGACGGACAGACAGACGGACAAGTGAGTGATTGCAAAAGCTCACCATGTGAGCTAATAAAATGTCCATGACTGACATGATGATGCTAAATAATCGAACCAAAATTATGTATAGGCTTGTAGGTGTCACGGACATTTTTACTTAAAGTGTGCGCCAAAGTTTAAAACTGCGCAGGCGCACCGCTCTCGCTAAACTATATAAAGAGATTACCAGGTACACGATTCAGAGGTAAGCCAGGAAGGCGAACAATCTTCGTCTCGTGATGATTTCCCGTATAATCGTAACCAGGGAAGTTTCACCATTGAAATTGAAAATTACTATTACATATACTTTGAAGATGTTATTTATGAAGCTATTTAGTGTATGTATCAATCAAATGTCTCATTTTGGACATATAAAAAGTATTTGTCTTTTGTTTCACGGGGAATCGTATTCCCATATAGTACACACATAAATAGTGTACATACATATTGAATAGCCTGGTATAGTAACACCGTGTTTATATAATATTGAAGGGCATGCTGATTGTACACACGAGTACATGCATGCTAGAAGGCCTAATTTTATATAGCTTGCATACCTAAATAAAAAATAAACCCTTCTAATCCCCTTATGTAAATACGGCGGTATACGTAGCCCGATTTATCGGAATCTTTAACGCTAATGGATATTTTGATCCCAGTGTTAGCAGTTAGTGAATAGGAGAGTAGGTGATGAGACTGTGTTATCTCCAAAACTAGTGCACGATAGTTTTTTATTTTATTTTTTTGCACCCAAGAAGTTATTTTAAAATAAATAAAAGTCATAGGTCACCGACTTCGTTTTTTGTAATTGCTCTTCAAAAAATACAATTAAAAAAAATTTACGTTCTGTCTAATATTTTGTTAATTGTAAGAAACATTAGAAAGGCTATTACTGTGTATGATTCATTAAATCCATCAAAATGATGTATCAATATAAAGTAATAATATAAATAAACCTATCGGTAACGGATAAACGATGAGCCTTGGGTATTATGTGAAAAATAGCCAAGGCCCATAGGCCCGCGGCTATTATTTTTTCATTCATGGTTTATCAAACATAAACTCCTATTAAAGGTAAATAGTCCATGATCCAATCTGGAAATTTGTAAATTTTGGATTGCTTGTGAAGTAACCTCTTCTATTTTGATGCTTCTCTGCCATATCAAATCAGAAAAAACAAAATGGCTGATAGACTTCAAACTACAAGAAGGCACAGGCTAATTACACTAAAAACTAAATCTGAAAGATACAATTGTCCTTCGTGTGCGGTATGATTTCTTTACATCATATTATCGCATGCTGGTCTTCAGATTTCTTACTTCTAAGTTCAACTGGTCATCATGGAGCAAGTTAATAGAATGTATACCCCAAGTGTCTCTCTGAAAGATTATAAATAATTAATATATCAATCTGGTAATATTATCTGAGGCATGACTAATATCATTGTAAAGTTTTTGCTTCGAATATTACCCTGGCAACTGTATTTTTTCATTCAGAGCTCTGGCGTCTGTTAATATTCTTTGTGAGAAACCCCGGAAGATTCACTCATGTCATTTCCGGGACAATTACGAAAGTGATTCCTGCAATTCCATCAAATATCATCATGAAATATACGTATTATTAAAACATTATCGCATTATAAAAATTGGGACGTTTTTGGCCCACATTGCAGAATTAAAATGTTTTTTCAAGACAATATTGCAAAGAAACTTAGACCAGGTTCATGTCTCCTGTTCTTATGGTCACTTACTGGTGATGATAAACGATGTTTAACGCTAAAATGTTTTATTTTTGAAGAAAACATTATGACCTAGTATGGCCTCATTATTACACCCCCCCCCATAATGTTGGCAACCCTTCCCCCGTTGTCTTACATGTTTAAGTCTCTATGTTTGAACTTTCATGTCCATAACCTGCAAAGGAAAACTAGAAAACCTAACTAGAAAACAGCAAATCCATGGAGTAGCATTTGAACTAATTCCCTTAACTGGTATTTGAGTTCTCAAAAATTGCGTTCTTTTATGAAAAATGGCGGCCATTTTGAAATTCAGCTGACATCTTAAAATTCTTTTTTTGAGCAGAGCAGCATATAAAATTTGATCCAAATCCGTCTTGTGGAATTTGAGTTATCAAATATTACATTTTAACGAAAAATGGCGGCCATTTTGAAACTCAGCGGCCATCTTAAAAATATATTTTTAAGCATTTTAACTAAATCCGTTAACTAGTATTTGAGAAAAATGGTGGCCATTTTGAAATTCAGCTGACATCTT